TAAAGGTTGTCTTCTGAGAGAAGGAGAAAGACAGAGAAGTATGTGAAAAAGAGTAAGTTGCCGACGTAAGTTTAAATTGTCCGGCAAATTACATAGGAATTACATACAAATATATGGATAAGAGGGTAAAGCATCATATCTACGATTGCAAAAAACCCAAACAAAATCCTACAGCACTGGCTACCCACCATTTTGTACAACAACACAATTTCAACCCCAAAAGTCCAAAAATATGACACTCAGAAAAAAATAAATATAAACGTAACTTTTTAGAAATGATTTACATCAACAGGGATAAACACAGCATCAATTATGGAACAGACACATGTAAATTCAATCTGAGCTACGCTAATATCATTAATCAAATTTAATATCAATAATATACATATATCACGAAAAACATGTAACTATAAAACAATCATTACAATCCACACATCAAACATTTTTACATAGTCTAATTCTTTGACAATTTGTTTTAGTCCAACAACCTTTCCCTAATTATTCCCTTCTATATCTTGAAAGGATAATCAGGCCGAACCATTACCCATTTTTTCCCATTGTCAGCTCCTTTCACCTCAAAGAAGCCACATATAAAAATGTCTTTCTATCCCGACTTCCTTCCCCACTCCCTGAAAATCCAACGTATGTAAACATAAAACATCAATATCTCACTGGCACTCTCACTCGTCACACAAAAATGACACAATTTCGCAGAAAACAAACACTTTGAGTGAGTACAAATACTTTGATTGAGACTAAAATTGCTAGCATTTTATAAATTAATTTTTCACATCCTACATTTATTTGCATAATTTAAACAATGTTTATAAATCCCAGGCCCTGAATATGATATCAATAAAAATCGAAACATTGACACGATAAAGAAAATATTTTTCTAAAACCTACGTCACACCAGCCCGGATCTCACCATCTCCAAATAATCATATATATTGTATTATTAAGTGTTTTTCAATTAAAGGTATCTCATTTTTTGATTTGACAACAAATATAAGGTTATTTATTGTATAGGTATTTTAATAATATTCTATGTTATATGTAACACAATTTTCAAACAATTTACTTCTTTTGAATTTACATTTGGAGAAATTTTTTGGAAAATTGTCAGTGTAGAAACCTCTCTTATTTCCAATTTATATTAGGGAAAAAGCAGATGAACTTCTCCTCGATTTGGTTTCTATTTTAGGATAAATTGAATTTAATTATACAATGTAATTACTTAAGTTTCACATCGAAATCAACCCTTGTTCTTTACTTAAACAAATGCGCTAAACTCCCTTTTCAGGACGGATTGATTAAAGTTAAACAAGACTGGCTGGTTTGGAATTTTCTGAAATTTCATCGCCCCTATTTCTGAACGGTTGCGAGAATATAGTTTTTCCACGCAAGATTTTCAATTCTTATCGAGAAACACATTTCGCCTTGTTGAACTTTACGACCCTACTTGGCTGTATTATTCTCCATATTCGAAGGACAACTTTGATGTATTCAACCAACGTCTCAACATCACCACTTCCTGACGCATCATAATATTTATCGGCATTACTACAACTTAAAAATGATATTTTTAAAACTTTTAAATACATTGATGTACTTTATTGCTATTGCCAATCTGGCAATAAAAGGCAAATTTAAAAAAATCTCATAAAGATACACAAAATAAAATTATTTTGTGAACTTATTTTTATTAATATTTCTAGTAAACTAATGCAGCGATGTTATTCGTTGTGAACTTACACATATTTGTAAACATTCTTCTCTAATTAATTGGTATTAGAACTACCCGTGATGGGATAACAAGTAGTAATGTTATGATTTGTGTAATGATCTTTCATTATGGGGTAGGTCCTGAAAGATATTTACGATTATTATGGTATGGTCTGAATGAAAAACAAATTAAATTTTCTATATTAAGTTTTTCACCTATTTTAAGGACATCATCATGGTCTTTGACTTAGACTCAGTTCCAACATTGCCCAGGACTGTTATTCTATTGCAATCCTCGGAGCCTCTCCTCTCGTTTGCAAAACCCGCCTTTTTTTAAAAATTAATTAGACCTTCATAAATGTAAGTTAAGCCCATAGTATCTATCTGAATGGTACGATTTTGTTTACCATTTAAGTATGTTAAACATTTTTTATTCTTCTTTTGAGTAATCGAAATTCTTTGTCAATTATGTATACGTTAAAAAAGAAAAATTGATGCTCATTTGTTAGTGAAAATTTCGAGAATCCAGTACCACTTTTGGATCTGTTACCACAATCAGATGCATGAAAATAAATTATATTTATTCTTGTGTTTAATTTGAACAATGTATTTGAATGCATGTTCACTACACGAATTCTTTCATACAACATTCGTAAATTAACTTTTCTCCCTTATCATGAAGTTTAGTATGCAGAGAACACTTTTTATTCATAGGGAAGATTTTATAATATTTATAAATAGCATTTATTTATCATATTTTATGGAAAACGTTTCTCTTCTGTATGTAATAATTGTATATTTAAAATTTAATTACACATCTTGTTTATTTTGTTATGAATGATGTTTAAGAATGTATATCATTTTGTAAATTAATAATTTTAAATTTTACAGTTTGCATCTTTTTTAATCCAAGTTCTTTTAACGGTGTTGCAAAAAAGAGAAAAGAAGACAACATTTGAAAACACCCGCCAGCCCGTAGGAGGCGTAACAAAAGAGGGAAGGGAGAAGAAAAGGAGAAGCGATAGATCAACAAATGGAATAAGAAGATTAGAGGCAGAAATCAGAAAAGCACCAGAAGGACACGTCTAATCACAAAAACGTCATGGTTTGCAATATAATTTTTTAGCCCAAAACATAAACGAACAAAAAAAACATTACGGCAGTCAGGAGTGAGAGTAGACTTTTTCCTTTTCCGGAATCAATACAGCGGTCCTAAAAATTTTCTACATTAAAAATTATAGAATAACTTGAAAACAATGGGTATATATATATTATTATTTATTTTATACAAAACGTAACATCATAAACATATTACAATAGTTAAATTCACTAGTTTCGTGGTCCTCTTGACCAATTAATATCATACAATTAATTATGGTTTTTAGTTGAGATAAAACTCATATAATAGGATACAACCGCTCGTGCCGTTGACTTTTTTATCTCAACTAAAAACCTTAATTAATTGTATGATATGAATTGGTCAAGCGGACCACGAATCTAGTGAATTTATTAAGTTTAAAATGAAGTATCCTTCACTAAAGCTCTCCGTGGCCATTTCATTTGTCGCCGAGAATCAAATTGATTACACGACATTTGAAAAATTGGCAAAAAGGAGGGAAAATTCAAAATGTATGGTTGAGATAGGAAGTTGGTGTCCGAGTGGATCAAGGTCACGATAGCTCAAGTGGTAGAGCAGCGGCATATCTAGCCGAAGATCGTGGGTTCGAATCCCGCTCGTGCCATTGACTTTTTTATCTCAACTAAAAACCTTAATTAATTGTATGATATTGCAATAGGATAAAAAAAGTAGACAAATATTTTTGTTTCTTATTAACAGCTGGGGCGTTAAATTAAGTAAGATTCGGGCCATTTTTTTCCTAGACCATAGAAAATAATAAAAATCCAATATGTAATGGTTTACTAGTTAACTACCTAATTTGAAATTTTATTCAAGTTCTTTAATTAGTTATTTTCCCGTGTAACTTCACTATTACTTTTTGATAACAATGTGAGATTTACGGAAAAAGATGTCGCACCATATTTGTTTAATAATATACACAATCAATTAGATTTCTGGTCCGATTGACCACATAAATTATTTTTAATTAATTAATTTTTAATTAAGGTTTTAGTTTAGATAAAAATCAGTGTCTCGAGCGGGATTCGAACCCACGACCTTCGCCTAAATACTCCGCTGCTCTAACCACTTCATCTATCGTGACTTTGATCCACTCGGACACCAACTTAATCAAGATTAATTAATTGAAAATATACACAATGTTAAGGAATTTTGCTTAGTACCGTGATTTCTCCGTTTATTTAACAGAAATTTTGGCATATTTGGTAACGTAAAACTTAAGAAACGCCTTTTATTACAAAAAAGAAATTACTTTGAGCTTTTAAACGAAAGAAATTACGTTTGAGATTACCGTATTTGAGAAAAAAATCCTTATCAAAAATAGGATTTTGTCATATTATGATGACTTTTAAAATACTGCTTGGTTTTGAGCCAAACCGGGCTTAAGGCTCCAGGAAGAATCCAGCTTAAAAACGGTACCAAAAATGCCAAAATCCAATAGTTAGGGTCGGAGCGAGGTAGCGAATTTAAACAAACCGAGCTGTTGTACGGGAGAAAACGCAAAAATGGCAAAAATTTTAAATGAATTTTTTATTTTAATCGTTCTAACTCTGCGACCGCCAGTCGATTCGGCTGAAAAACAATCCCTACCGTCCTTATAGGATTCTTTACCACCCTGTCAAATTTCATCTAAAATCACCACTAGAGAGCGCTAGATTTTTGAAACGATTCTACTTAAAATTAAACATCAACATAGGTTTTTTGTTATCAAATCAAGTGATCGAAGTATCGAAGCGAGAGACAAAAAAGCCAAAGCGTGACAAGGTAAGAGGAAACTGATTCAATTTAGGGAAGGTGTATATAGAGGTAACAGATCATGGTTTGTGTAATCCTGAAATATAACACTCTTCGCTTAATTAGGACTAAAATAAGGCATATAACATATAACATCTTCACTTGTCCTCGGGCGGCGGGGGTAATTCCCCTTTTATACCCCCCCTTGGAACCGCCACGGTTCCATATTCTTTTAAAGCTATAAAATTGGTGTTGTAGAGATTAATTAATGGAGGTCTATAGACAAACTTTTCTATTATCATTTGTTCACTATTAACAGCTGACAAAGGTAGTTAGTTTATCACTAATCTCCATTTTTCCCCCGCTCGCCTATAGTGATCTAATTGCAATTGATCTATTATTTCTTTATAGGAAAATGCAATAAAAATTTCGTAGTTCCCGTTGTTTTATTTGGATTATTTTCTTCTCGCAGCCGTGATACCTATTCAGCTTCCAACATTGCGACAAAGAGTTGCCAGTACTCAAGGAGCCGATAATAACAGCTGTGAATCGGTAAGAAGTTTCTGACAATTACTTTTAATTTTGACTGGATTTATTTTATTTAGTAGAGCCCTAAATGAAAAATTATAACTAGCTTCATTAAATTCACTAATTTTGTGGTCCGCTTGACCAATTAATATATTACAATTAATTAAAGTTTTTAGTTGAGATAAAAAAGTCAATGGCACGAGTGGGATTCGAACCCACGATCTTCGGCTAGATACGCCGCTGCTCTACCAGTTGAGCTCTCGTGACCTCGATCCACTCGGACACCAACCTCCCATCTCAAATTCAAAAGGTTGGGTTGAGATGGGAGGTTGGTGTCCGAGTGGATCGAGGTCACGATAGCTCAAGTGGTAGAGCAGCGGCGTATCTAGCCGAAGATCGTGGGTTCGAATCCCGCTCGTGCCACTGACTTTTTTATCTCAACTAAAAACCTTAATTAATTGTACTATAACTACCCTTAAGAGCTTAATGTTATGTTTTTAAGGTTAATTATTTTTGTCTTCGCCTTCATCAGCTGATCAGCTTTCAATTGTTAGTATTAAAATTGTGTTGTGTGGACGGCCCTTGGGTGCTCCCCTAGGGAGCACCGATTTGCTGGGTCTATAAGAAGAAAATGCATCCCCCTGAGCGATGTGGCCAGTTTGACAGAGAGGATTTCTTTTTAATTTTCCGTGAAAGAAAGGAAGCCCATAAGCTTCAACTGCAAACCAGATTTCCATACCCGATCGAACGTTTGAGCAACATCGAGCAAAACACCTTAACAGTACTGTTGCTGCTTAAGAGAGGGTGGTATATTATCCAAATGCGATGCATCTGTTGCACAAACGAGCGGAAACCAAACAGGTTGTGACATAGGAATTAAAATTTTCAGCTATTGACATAAACCGCTTTAGGAGAAGGTTTTCAAATATATGAGGAGGAAGGACGCTAAGGTTTGGAAGGAAACTAACAGGCGGTATGAGCTTGGGTTTTGGGACCATTTTAATCATAGATTATTTTCACTGTATAAAGATGTATATGGTTCTTAGTACGGTGTTGTAGATGAATGTCAAAAGAACTATTAGTTGTTGATTTTTGCAAAACATTCACCGTACTTAGGTCATATCCTGGGGCTTTTCGGGATGGTCAGTTTTTAATTATATGTTTAATATCTGGAAAAAGAAAAGGTTTGGAACGTAACGTATACTGCAAGGGTAAATCAATTTGTTCAACCTTCGCAATGTGGGTTGGTATCCGTACGTCCGGGTGAGGAGTGAAGACGCCAGACTGATAGTCAGGAAAGAGCTGTGCTTTGTCGACGTCTGTTTTGGCCCAAGATTGATTAATACATCGGAGTGGTGAAGGAGGGTATTTGTAAGCAGGGATTTTTTGTGTAAAACCACAGTGATTTGTCAGAAGTCGTTAAGGAAGTCGTTCTGTCAATATTGTTCAGTCTTTAGCTTGTATAGTTCTTTCTTCAGAAATTTGGTCAGTTGGCTCAGTCTTTTGTAGCCAGATGGGTCATGAGCCATCTAGCTCTTGCTTTCCATTTTTGTCCAATTAAGGTACGCATGTAGTAGGACGAATAAATAGGAGAAACATGAATTACATTTTTTGTGTGAATATTTTTAAAATGGAAGGGTAAAGTGTTCTAGAGCATTAAACTTGCGCCAAATGCAAATCTTGTGCGGGCAGCTAATTAAAATAATTGCTTTTATCACCCTGTGTAAATTCATAGGTCTCATAAAACTGAAAATACGTTAAATTTGAGGCTGTTATTTTTTCTCTTAACTTTTTTATTCCCTACCTAGTAGATATTACATTACTTCTTTTATTTCCCTGATAATTTTTTTGTTAATTTGTTTATGGTTTTCTGGGATATTTATAGAGTAGGCTAAATAAGCGTTAACGAAAGGTTAAGCTGTTCTAACTAACGTGAAACATAATCTAGGACAGCTTAACATAGAATAACATATTTTTTTAATACCTTGATGATTGCTCAAATAAAGTGCATACATACATGTATTTATATCTTATATTTTATATGTTTGATTAAGATTTGCAGTCGATGTACATTAAAAATAACAATATGATAACAATATTATAGTCATGTCAGTAATTTTTATATTATGCAATGACCAAAGCAATAAGTGATAAATTCGTAAATACCAAAGTTTTTATTTTTATATTTTATCTTATTTTTATTTTATCTTTATATTTTACTATCTCGACGTTTATTTTACCATTTGTCCGTGTCAAGCAATTAAATTGAACATTAATTTCAGAATTGCCGAGTGATTTGAAGTTCATAGCAATTACTTAGAAATATTACATCATTAGACAATCTCTGCGCCAAAATGAGTAATGATGATAATAAGTATTAAATTAGAAAATCAATTTACAAAGAAAAGCTATAAATATACAGTTTGATGAGATATATTACCACTAAAAGAATTGAAGTCGCCAACAATGAAGCCTCATTTTTTAATGTTTTTTGTGTCCTACCCGCTACTTTGCCAGAGTATTTTAAGGTGAGGTAATTTTAATTTGACGAAATTAACCTCACTGATATTTCTTTATCACCAGGATTCCTCTAAAAAAGTTGCCGAGAGAGTCCCACCGTCTTTCTCCACATAAAGCAGTTAATAGATGGAAACGAGAAGAACCTGAAAATGAAAAACCGGTGTTCGTCTATGATGTATGCAAAATATATTTATTTTATATATATTTAAGACAGTTTTTATGAAAAGGTAAGAGGTGGAAATAAAAGGTTTTGCTAATATAATACACGCACTGTTTTATCGTTTAAGGTAATACTTTACAATACTTTTTTTACTGTTAATAATAATTAAAACAGTGTTATAAAATTACTAACTACCTCTTCCCTTACGTTTATTAGTGAGCTTTTAATGTGATAGAAAGAAAACGTGATGTTATTACAATTTGTCTGACGAAAGCATTAAAAAAATTATAAATTTTTCAGTCCGCAACTTATGGGATGGTTGGCATAGGCACACCGATTCAAGAAATCCCGTTAATGTTTGACACCTTTGGGAATGAAACGTGGGTGTTTGAAAGTGACTGTACTATAAAAATATGCTGTAAGTGTTTTCAAATAATCAATTTAATCGACATAATAGTTATGACGTAATATAAAAATGATTAATGAAAACCAATAAAGCGTAATATATACTAATGAATTTCCATATTATAAGTCGTTACCAATACGTTCAAGTTCTCGAAGTCAAGTACGTTCAACTATTTGGGTGTTGTAAAACAGAAGTATTACAAGGAATTTTTATTACGAGGAGCTGCCACCACCGACACATTTATAGTAAGACAAATTGATAACTTCTAGGTCAATAATAAGTTAGTTTTAAGTCAATTTCAATAAATTATTTTGCAGTTTGGAAATTTTAAAATGGACAACGTAACATTTATAGGGGTTCAGGATATAGACTGGACTGCATCAGTTGAAAGAGCACACACTGAGAGTGTCGCTGGCATAATACATCTTCGACCGTCGGCAATGACTGGAAGTACTGATTTTTTGGAGAAAATGTATTCGGAAAAAATCATCGAGGAGAAAATTTTTGGAATTAAGGTACCAAGGTAAAGTCATTTTTAAACAAACATAAATTCATAAAGTGCATTATTATTGTGCATTGTATTATTCTTTGGCAAAACCCTGTGATGAAATTTGGTCGTGGTTCGCAAAATCAGAAGTCGTATTGACTCCAGAGGTGTCGGTGTTTTTGAGAAAAAGATTATTTGTAAGTATGTGTAGAGATTAGTGACCGTTAATCGATAGTAATTCAGATATCGTGAGAGGGTACCCGACCGCATCTTCCGATATCTGAATACTATTTTTAAGTATGTCGAGTTCGAAAGCCGAGCCGCTGGGTTCGAACCCCGGACCTTTATCGTACAGTGAAGAGCGCCGTGTCAACATCTCAATCGTTGAGGGCTCCGACGCACCAAGTGAATTTTTTAAAAATGTTGATATGAACATTTATGATTTATAATTTGATAGTCCTATCCATCTTGGTCTCCCTATCCTCGCTGATTTTCTCTTTTCGTAGTATTGTCTAGTAGATTCCATATTTAGTTTGTTTTTCAATGCTGATTAACGCCTAATTTGTTGAATAAGTTAGTTATTTTTTACGTTCCTTTCTCTATGCGTGAGAATGTGGCCCGATTAGTGTCTGCTTTTGTTGTGTTGTTTTGTTTATTATTTTCACGATTGTGTTTGTGCCGTTATAGCAGAAAAAGTGCCGAAACTTTTATTACAGAACAAAAAAGCGAGAATAGGTGGACTTAAATGATCTACAACGACCAAAAATAAGGTTCATCACTCCACAGGTACTACGTAGAATTTTCAAAATTAAAAAACTTATAATACACTCTAACCGTATATTTTCAACATACCGGACATATTTTTACAGACTATTTCCAAAACTAAGTATCATATATCTCCGAGAGCAGATTTCTTATTCAAATTCGTTTTAGGTCTGATAAGAGCTAATGAACCGAGCTAATGGAAAACTATTTTCCTCCTCCTCGTATGGGTAATAGATACTATCTTGCTTCTGGGTTTTTATTTGTTCCCTTAGACTTGATAATGGTTCATTTAAAATTGCTAGATTTAGCTCTTCTTTGCTCAAGAAAACCGTTTCTCTATTAGTTCTTCATATTAACTTATAACAAGCACTGCAGTTTTATCCTCTTCTTGGAAAACAACTAGAAATCCTCAATTACTATTTTTTATTAAAATTGTTTAAATCTGACCTAATAATATAATGGATATTATATACAAATATAATAATAATATATACATTTAAGTCCACTTATTGGTATCAAAGCTTAACAAGCTCAACTTCGTAACTTTTAAAGAACTAACTCACATGACTTGATCCTTTTTAGTCGTACTAAAGGTGATGACTGTCTTGATGGATACCTCGGTGTCCAAGTGGCTTGTAAAGCTAGATAGCTTAAAACATAAGTAGGCCTGTGATTTATATGCAACAAAAACACACAAATATGCACATATATATGTAAATATATTTGGTAAAAAATGCAATTCAAAACTGAAAATATGCGGAAACTACCATGAGAAAAAATAAGGAAAACTCAAAGTATAGCACATAATTGTATTGAAAAGAGAAAGAGTGGCTGAGGAACATCACATTGCTAATATCAAACAAGAAAAACGCATTAAAAAAAGTTAGATTTAAAAAATCCGTCGTCTCATCCATCAAGACCCAGATCGGTCCATTTTCGATGAAGTCTCTGATTTTATGGAGTGTTTCATTGTATATAAGATCCAAGTGAGATTTCCTGAGGGTACTTTCGTGGGGAATGGTTTTCCCTGTACATTTCTAAAAAAAAACCTTGAATTCAAGGTGGCATAGTTTATGGATTGGTANTTATGCGGCAGTAGATATTAGTGTGTAATCAGGTTTTTCCAGATAGATTTTTTTAAAAAATAATTAATTAACATATACAAATGTTTTTTATTATTTGTTTTGTAAGTTATAAGGATAATAACGTGGATGGAGAAATAACTATAGGAGAATGGAATCGTCAGTACGTGAACGAAAGTGCAATTAACTGGATTCCATTAACTTCAGGTTCTAGCTGGGAGTTTCACGTGCAGAAGTACATATTCCACATATTTAAATTTATTTTCAACCGTTCATATTATATTTATCTATATGTCGATTTAGATTGGTTTATGGAACTTTTGGCCTTCTGGAGGAGGGCAAGGCAATCGTCGATACCGGATTGTCGCTTTTGGTGGGACCGGAAGAGATCGTCCAGAAATTGTTTATGGCCCTCAATATCACTCTAACTATCAACCCAATAACAGTCACATCGTTTTTGTCAGATTACGATAGCTTTACGGTGAAATGCTCAGACAAACTTCCATATTTCAATTTCCTCATTCATGATAACCATTACGTTCTGACGCCTAATGACTATTTACTGCCGGTAACTATTAGTTATGCTTGTAAAATAATTATTAGCCTAATTACAGAAAGTTATCTAGTTTATTTTTATATTTATTAATATATTTCAGATGCCCGACAATAAGGATTTGTGCGTATTTGGCTTTGCGTCATCGAAACACATAAAGACAAAAGCTTGGAGATTAGGAGATGTATTTTTGTCCAAGTTTTACATGATAGGCGATGGTAAAAATTCGCGTTTGTCTTTCAATGATTATGTTCTTTAAAGATTTATGTGTTTTCTTATCTTTCTAAACAATAAAACTGATATAACAATGGGCCAATTTTGTTTGAAATGGAAATTTTGAGTATTTAATATTTTCTTTTCAGAAGTACAGAAGAAAGAAACACCACAGTATTATGAAGGAAATCATATTTCGTACATTTAATATTCAGTTATTAGAACTACAAAATTATGTTATTTTTAAATTGTATTCGTTTGAACTCCAAAGGTTTTCTTGTGTTTGTTGTTTTTTAAGTACAAAAATAATAGTTAATATACATATATAATATTTATCATTGCTGAGATTATACCTCAGAAGTTGTAACTAACTTCTGCCAGTAGTACAGTTTTGCTATGTTAAGACTCAGTAAGGACTGGTTTTTCAAATTTGAAGCCCCATAAATGTCAGAAAAGGATTCAAGATTACCATTCGAAAAAGACAAATTAAACCGGTATTTCAGGCTCAAGTGATCGATATATAAAAAGTCCGAGGAAATTGGATTTTTAAATTTGGCAGATTTTGGGCATACGGTGCTTTAACAGTCACTCCCCCAATTGTTTTGGGACTGTACTAATCCCGTAGTTCTTGCTAGTAGAAAGATACGGGAAAAGAAATGTGGTGAATGTTTTGTTTTTAAATCGTATCACTTCATAATGTGTGGCGATTAGTGACCGTTATTCGACAATTATTCAGAAATCATGAGAGCGGTTTGGTTCGATGTAGGTTTCAGAAAAACTATTTTTTTTATCGTGTCAACGTTTCGTTTTGATCTTTATTGAGATCATCTTCTGAGCTCAAAGAGTTTTTCTTCTGTGTATTTGTGCCAGTCTGTGCGTGGGTACTCTCAACACGACACGCAAGAATGGCACATTTACACAGAAGACAAACACTTTGAGCACTGAAGATGATCTCAATAAAGATCGAAACGTTGGCACGAAAAAGAATATGTTTTTCTGAAACTTACATCACACCATACTGCATCTCACGATTTCTGAATAATCACATCATAATGATGTAAATTATCATAGCCATTTTGCCGATTTCCAACTTGATAATTTATGCCTCATACATAGACATTATACATTTATTTTGTACAATTTTTACAAAGGAGATATATATTTGAAATTTAGTGTAGTATGAAATTCCCTAATATATTATTTTAGAGTGTTTGTATAAGTGTATGTATTACTTAGTTTGATAAAAAATCGTTATTGAATAATGAATACTTAATAATGTAATATAATAAAATTAGTTAAGGACTTTATAAGCAAAACGATCATAAAAATATGACGAAAAATCTATCATTTACGGGTAAAAGTGGAAAATAAATATATTCTTAATATCACTACCGAGAATTCCAGTAATAATAGCCTTATTTTTAAATATAAGGGATATAGATCGTTAATGTCGATTTTCGTAATCACCATTTAATGGCCCACTTGGGGGCAATCAAAGCTGTTGACAAACGTTAAATGTGTTATATGTAAGTTAACGGAGATTAAAGGACTTGCGAGACCACTTAAGTAGAACGATTTTACTTTAGTATTCACTTTAATGTTCAGTAAATATATTTCTTTTCTCAAAAAAAAAAAAAAAAAAAAAAATACGTTTTAATCAGTTTCACACAATATTTCTGTGATTTTTTTTTTGGCGGAGATTTTTACGTTAATCAAAAACATAAAGACAAATATAAAATTGGCCATACTGTTCTTGACAGAAACCTTTTACATAAGATGGAAGAAAATGATGTACCATGTGATGTCGCAACAGAAAATGTGCACTTAAAAATCAAAATAACTAAACCGTGTGTTATCATTTATCTCTGCTATGTCAAAACGAACGGTATATATTTAAATTTTGGAAATTAATTCAAAGAGAATTTACTTCATCAATATTTATTTAATACATGAGTTTCGTTTAAACTCATAACAATTGGGGTAGGTTTATCTGATAAATCATTTATATTCATTAAACGATATTGTCTCATCGTCCACGTTAAATATAGTGTAATATTTAGCCAGAAAAACGTCTCCAAGGATCCAAAAGCTGAAATCCTGCCGGACCGGTTTAAACCCAACCAAGCAATAAGTGTCTTCTCCTGGTAGCTGAAACAAATTGAAATAATTGTGAAAAAATATCTATATTAAATAATAATATTAAACTATATTTATTAGTATCCCTTAGAGTACATTAGTGGTAATATTAATTATGATACAACTATGGAGTGAGTGTTTTTCTGTAATACTAGGCCTAAAAATATTATACCAGTGTACGAGGGTTTTAGTCAATGTGCCGAAAGAGCCGAGAAAATGATGAGCATGTAATTTAACCTTTATTGTGCATGAATTTCAACGTAAAAACATTGATTTATATTTGTTCAAATTTGCTCATGTATTTACAATGCAACATGTGCAGATTTGAGCCTATCACTTCTCGCTACACCGGTAATCCCAGCTTTTGTAATTTGCAATAAATTACCGGAAGGCATCGAGAATCACCCAATCGGTGTCGGCAGATGGGGTCNATATTATACCAGTGTACGAGGGTTTTAGTCAATGTGCCGAAAGAGCCGAGAAAATGATGAGCATGTAATTTAACCTTTATTGTGCATGAATTTCAACGTAAAATCATTGATTTATATTTGTTCAAATTTGCACATGTATTTACAATGCGACATGTGCAGATTTGAGCCTATCACTTCTCGCTCCACCGGTAATCCCAGTTTTTGTAATTTGCAATAAATTACCGGAAGGCATCGAGAATCACCCAATCGGTGTCGGCAGATGGGGTCTCATCCGTCCTGGGACCGATTTTGTTCTCCATTTCATTTTAAACCCAACGCATCTAAATACAAACTCATTCAAACTCTTGCTCATTCTTAAATACATTCTCTTCTTTTAAATACCATCCATTCAATTATTTTGTTGAAGTACTCCATACTCATCCNAAGATTTTCTCGTCCCAGCCCCCGAAAACTATCTCCCCGCCTGGTACTACATCCGAATCGCTAGAATGCATAATTATACCGTTATTATAGTTGGGCAGAAATTTATTTTACTTGCATTACCTGCTCAAGAAAAACGAAAAGACACCTTTGGTCACGACTTGTTGATCCAGCATAGTGAAAAATGGGGGTGTAACGTCGCCCGCAGACAGAGCACTGAATGCTAGCCCGAAAATCCCGTCAAACATATCACCATCCCTGTGATTATTGGTTTCGGCAAATAACTGTCCTCGTACTCTGTGACCGCCCATCTACAACAGACAGGGCTGAGAGATGTGCCCGTTGTGAGGATTAGAAAAGAATTACGTAGAAATCGTCTGATGAAAAAACACCCTCGATGGTTCCAGACAAGAAATTGAGATATATGTAAGTCCCGTTTCCTACGTAAGTAGATGACTTTGAACTATCATATTTGTTGAGTCTCTCTAAAACAATCATAGTTGAATCAGCATACAAAGGGTTAAATTGTATATTTATTTATACCACGTTCCTTACGATCTACTAATACTTACTCCAATCAAATTATGCTTTTTTATAGTTATCAAACTTTGACTGAATGTAAAATTGCGAAAGAGTTTTTGTTATCATATTATTATTATTATTATTATTATTCAATTAATCGATCTTGTATTGGCGATATGGGCTGAGATAAAAAAGTCAGTGTCACGGGCGGGATTCGAACCCACGATCTTCGGATAAATACGCTGCTACCCTACCACTTGAGCTATCGTGACTCCGATCCACTCGGACACTAACTTCCCATCTCAACCAAACCTTTCGAATTTTCCCTCCGTTTCACCATTTTTCAATGTTTGGTTGAGATGGAAAGTTAGTGAATAAAGATTAATTAATTGAAAGATGTTATTTGGTCAATCGGAACACGAAATCTAAGAAATTATTATTTCTGTAAGTACGAATTGTATTGAATGTTTTCTGCTTTTCGAATATCACTTTCTGAAGGGCGTATGCACTGCGAGTAGGAGCAAATATGTTGTATTGTTGAGTATGGGATCGAAATTGGTAGATTGGATGAAAACTAGGTGCTAGTAAATTAATGGAATTGACCCGCACGTGATTTTCTTCCAAATATATTGAACCTTGATTTGAATAACTTTGTGCTTATCGGTATGGCAATCTACAGACAGTTATTTCGCAAACTGCATTCATTACATTGATTCATTTCTACTTGCCTTTTATTCTACTTAAACAAAAGGACATAAAATGTAAATTATTAACATAAAAGCCCGACGAATGTAATGAAAACGTTCTTATTTCCTCTGGAAATATTACAGAGGAGAAGTTTATTTCATCATGTCTGGGTTAAGTATGAGAAAAGTTGACCCCAATCGGACACAATAACTCAATGTAGAACTGAGTAGTATTTAGTATACAGTTGATCACTTTCGTCACTAATGGCACTAATAAATCCTGTGGAAATAGTTATCTTTCTTACATTTTCAAACCTTCAGATAATATAAATGCTCTCCAATTGGGGTTGAAGGGAATTCGTTATTTAAACAATGATAACCTTATGAATTCTTCAAAATGACTTCTTCTCAATAAGAACAAAAAAACATAAAATATAATAACAGCAAAAATAAACAAAACCATTTTAATTGCAAAACACTCTATGACTAATTTTCAAATTTTAAAATATATTTGAGGATAGGTGTATTCACAACATCAAAATCTCTACCAGATCTCAACATTCTAAGACATCTATCTCTGCCTCCTAAAGGTTTTACCTCTTCTAACATCAAATGCGGAATTAAAAATCTACCTCTCAAGAAAACTCCTGGATTTGCCGTACTTACATTTTCCATTCTTCACCACCACAAATTTCGTGATTTTTTTAACCATCCTGTTATAATGCTACACATCGCAACACTAATTTGTAAGTGTTAGAAGTTTTCCTTGGTTTACTCAATGCCTACACCCAACAACTATATTACTTTACGAATCCCTACCGCCCCATCAGTTTACTATCAAGTATAATCGTAATTCTCTAGTTTTCGTGGTCTGCTTGACAAATGAATTCCATTCAATTAATTAAGTTATTTAGTTGAGATAAAAAAGTGAGTGTCACGAGCGGGATTCGAACCCACGACCTTCGGCTTGATACGCCGTTACTCTACCACTTGAGCTATCGTGACTTCCGTGGAACATATAACACGTGGGTTCGAATCCCGCTCGGAACACACTCTTTTTTATCTCAACTATAAACCTTAATTAATTGTATAATAGTAATGTCTTGAAAAACATCTCTTTAATCATGAAAAAAATAGGAGCCTCGGTGGCTGCAACGGTTTAGGCGTACTAAGGTAACGGTCCTCGGTTCGAATCCAGAGGCCCTGCATTCGAACCCGAGATACATACAAATGGGCTTTTTTTCAAAAACATCGGCACCAAGGAGGGGCATATAATCTCGTAGTTGAAATACCGTCGTAAAAAGCATGAAAAAACCTTCTCATCTTCTGATAAATATAATACACGACCATGTGGTCACTGTTCCATTTTAAAACGCGTCATCGTGTTGTGGACAGCAGTACGTCTTTCTTTGAGAAAAAGAAATGCTACACAGTCGTCGGAAGTCGGCTATTGCGCTCTTTTCTATCTCGACCTAACTTAGCATACTCTGATTGTACTGCCATTCTAGCCTACAGCCCCGACCCTACAACACTCTACATTCATAGAACAGCGATTCAAAAATTGCCATTCAATCTCAACACAACAAAGTCCCATAATATTATCCTTAATCGCATCAATCTTCCTCCAACATATTATTAATCTCACTCCCTACCTACTGAAAACGACCTCCTCCTCGGTCTGTAGGTAAGCAACCGAAAAATGAATCGTCATCGATATTTGAAACGACTTCAAGACAACAGATCTAAAATCGACTATTCCCTTTATACAAGAAGTTGTAAAAATTGTTGTGATTTGTCGTAGTAAGATAGATTGTGAAGAGCTACAAAAACCTCTAAACTAACTTTCAATCCTGAATGAAAATTAATCCTGAAGTACAACAACTTCTTCCTTCTTCCCTATAATCCTCCTCGTAATCTTCCTCGACGTCTTAAAAGACAGTGGCCCTGGGACTTGAATGATTGTAGTTAATCAATGATATAGAAGTACTACGACCGTCAGTTTATGTATTTCTATCTTTTTTGGTGTCTTAAAAGTTAATGCATGTTTTAGAATTAATTTATTTAAAATTTAACATTTTTAAAAATGTATTAGTTAGCCTAATGTAATATATTATTCGTGTCAGATAAAATATTGAATAAATTCTATATGCTTTTAAATTGATGAGAATTTACAGTAAATATTATTTTTCTAATTACTCTATTTAGTGTACTAAGTAGTCTAGTATTGTTGTTTTTGTTAAAATAAGAATAAATATTTACTATATGAACTAAACGCAGGCGTTGTTGACCGAATTAATTAAATTCCGAGAGTTCTTGGATCTCAGTGTTTTAATCAACGATTAATTATCCAAAATGATAAAACGATTTCAATAGCAAATGTAGAACAAAGTCCAATTCGTTGCAAAACCACGGCTTCTATTTAATTCGTCTACGCTTTTTTAAATTCGTTATTTAATTTACTTTCGGCCTTATTTAATACCGTCAATTATAATAACATATCATAACAACTGTATCTTTTGAAGGCACTAACCGCAAGTTTCATTACATAGGATTGAAGGCACCCAAAGATTCGATGATCCAGTGTCAAACAAAACGTTAAATTTCTGCGGAGGATTTCCGATATGAATCTCGCCGTAATATTGCACCTGTTGGTAAATAAATATTAAATCAGTGAAAATTAGTGTCATAAATTACATAATTACGTTGTGGTAGTTGGTTAACGGTTCGATGATAACTGATGTATTCAGTGTGGGTTCAGAAGAAAAACTCGTTCTTTGGGTGAAATTGACAATTTCTTCGGCTCCTTGAGTGAACTTGTGCAGCTTTACTCTACGAGCAATTATCTATAGATCTATTTTTTTTTAAACTTAGCTAGCGTTACCTTAGATTTGCCGAACATATTCCTGTAATAAGGAGAAAAATAATGGCGCGTGTGACCATCATCTCGAGTTCCACGATATTAATGAAAATGCGTTTTACTTGAGATATCGAGGTTTGGGAATGACCAATATTTATCGGAATTATCTGGCAACAGGTGCCCTGTTTGATTTCAATTTTAAAATAAGAGTTATAACTGTACCCCAGAAAAACAGCATCTATTAAAATCTGAATTGTGCTCATGTCTATACAATTTATAACACCCAATTTATTTATTTTTAATTAAAAAACTGCTCGTAATATTATAAATAATGCGTTATTTAACATAGTTACAAAATAGATTAAGATTATTCGGAGATCGGGAGATGCGTCTGCTGTGACGTAGGTTTGTGACGTAGGTTTTAGACAAACATTTTCCTTATCGTTTTGATCTTTATTTAGATCATCTTCAGGGCTCAAAATGTGTCAGAGTGCCCCCAACACGACAGACAAGAATGACACATCTACACGGAAAACAAACACTTTGAGCCCTGAAGATGATCTCAATAAAGAACGAGACGTAGGCACAATAAAAAAAAAAAAAAAAAAACATTTTTCCAAAACTTAAATCACAGCAGACGGCATCTCACGACCTCCACATAATCAATGTTGAACGAACGCTTTTGTTGTTGCATATTTAAAGTGCAGATGTAAATAGATAAATGAATTGGAAAATATGAACACACTATAGATATGTTTTGATTAATTATATATTTATATTATTATTTTATATTGAATTATGTACAGACATGGAAAGTTAGAAATTTTAATTAAAAAATTGGCAGTAATAATATAACTAATGCGTTATTTATCATAGTTACAAAATAAAATAAGATTATTCGNTGTTAAACTGCCAGTAGACTGTGTCAGTCAGGTTGATCCAGTGTATATTATCGGCGTCGAAGATTTCCTCGTCCCAGCCCCCGAAAACTATCTCCCCGCCTGGTTCTACATCCGAATCGCTAGAATAAATAATTATACCGTTATTATAATTGGGCAGAAATTTAGTTTAATTGCATTACCTGCTCAAGAAAAACGAAAAGACACCTTTGGTCACGACTTGTTGATCCATCATAGTGAAAAATGGAGGTGTAACGTCGCTCGCAGCCAGGGCGCTGAATGCTAGCCCGAAAATCCCGTCAAACATAGCACCATCCCTGTGATCGCCGCTGATTTCGGTGCTTTCGGCAAACAACTGTCCTTGTACTCTGTGACCGCCGATCTACAACAGAAAGGGCTTAGCGATGTGCGAATTGTGAGGATTATAAAACAATTACGTAGAAATCGTCTGATGAAAGAACACCCTCGATGCTTCCAGACAAGAAATTGAGATATATGTAAGTCCCATTTCCTACGTAAGTAGATGACTTTGAACTATCATATTTGTTGCGTCTCTCTAAAACAATCATAGTTGAATCAGCATACAAAGAGTTAAATTGTATATTTATTTATACCACGTTCCTTACGATATACTAATACTTACTCCAATCAGATTATGCTTTTTTATATTTATCAAACTTTATCAACAGAATGTAAAATTGCGAAAAAAATTTTGTTATCATATTATTATTATTCAATTAATTAATCTTTATGTAAGGTGTTGGCTGAGATAAAAAAAAATCAGTTCACGAGCGGAATTCGAACCCACGATCTTCGGAAAAATACGCCGCTACTCTACCTCTTGAGCTATCGTGACTCCGATCCACTCGGATACTAACTTCCCATCTCAACCAAACCTTTCGAATTTTCCCTCCGTTTCGCCATTTTTCAATGTTTGGTTGAGATGGGAAGTTAGTGAAAAAAGATTAATTAACTAGGAAGATGTTATTTGGTCAATCGGAACACGAAATCTAAGAAAATATTATTACTGTAAGTACGAATTGTATTGAATGTTTTCTGCTTTTCGAATATCACTTTCTGATGGGCGTATGCACTGCGAGAAAGGGCAAATATGTTGTATTGTTGAGTATAGTATCGACTTTGGAAGATTGGATGAAACCTAGGTGCTAGTAAATTAATGGAATTGACCAGCACGTGATTTTCTTCCAAATATGTTAAACCTTGATTTGAATAACTTTAATACGTCTTTGAGCTTATCGGTATGGCAATCTACAGACAGTTAATTCGCAAACTGCATTCATTACATTGATTCATTTCTACTTGCCTTTTATTCTACTTAAACAAAAGGACGTAAAATGTAAATTATTAACATAAAAGCCCGACGCATCTAATGAAAACGTTCTTATTTTTTCTGGAAATATTACAGAAGAGAAATTTTCATTTCATCATGACTGGGTTAAATATGAGAAAAGTTGACTACTCGGACAGAATCACCCAATGTAGAACTGAGTAGTATTTAGTATATAGTTCATCACTTTCGTCACTAATGGCACTAATAAATCCCACGGAAATTGTTATTTTTCTGACATTTTCAAAACTTCAGATAATAGAAATGCTCTCCAATTGTGGTTGAAGGGAATTCGTTATTTCCACAATGATAACCTTATGAATTCTTCAAAATGCCTTCTTCTAAATACAAAAAACTCATTACAAAAAAAACCCATAAAATATAATAACAGCAAAAATAAACAAAACAATTTTAATTGCAAAACACTTTATTATTAATTTTCAAATTTTAAAATATGTTTGAGGATCGGTGTATTCACAACATCAAGAATCTCTACAAGATATCAACATTGTAAGGCATACATCTGTGCCTCCTAAATGTTTTACCCCTTCTGACGTCAAAAGCGGAATTAAAAATCTACCCCTCAAGAAAACTCCTGGATTTGACGTACATACACTTTCCATTCTTCACAACTAACAAATTTCGTGATTTTTTCTACCATCCTGTACAACAATCCTTAATGCAACACCTCGCAAAACTTATTTGTAAGTCTTAGAGGTTTTCCTTGGTTTACACAATGCCTAAACCAAATTACTTTACGAATACCTACCACCCCATCAGTTTACTATAAAGTATAATAGTAATTATCTAGTTTTCCTGGTGTGCTTGACAAATTAATACTATTCAATTAATTAAGGTATTGAGTTGTGATAAAAAAGTGAGTCTCACGAGCTGGATTCGAACCCACGACCTTCGGCTTGATACGCCGTTACTCTACCACTTGAGCTATCGGGACTTCCGTGGAACACGATAGCTCAAGTGGTAGATTAGCGCCGTATCATGCCGAAAGTCGTGGGTTATAATCCTGCTCGTGACACTCACTTTTTTATCTCAACTATAAACCTTAATTAATTGTATAATAGTAATGTCTTCAAAAACACCTCTTTAAGCATGAAAAAAATAGGAGCGTTGGTGGCAGCAACGGTTTAGGCATACTAAGGTAAAGGTCCTGGGTTCGAACCCAGAGGCCCTGCGTTCAAACCCGAGATCCTTACAAATGGGCTTTTTTTTTTAAAACATCGGCACTACAAAGGGCATATAATCTCGTAGTTGAAATACCCTCGTAAAAAGCATGAAAAAACTTCTTATCTTCTGATAAATATAATACACGACCATCTGGTCACTGTTCCATATTATAACGCGTCATCGTGTTGTGGACAGCAGCACTTCTTTCTTTGAGAAGAAGAAATGCTACACAGTGGTCTTTCTCGATGTCAAAAGCTAACGTTCGGTCTAGCGCCTTGGTATGCTTTGGGAACTCAAGGGCTACGTATCCCCTATAAACTTCCGTAAGTCCTACATGTCTGCCCCTCAGCGTTCTCATCCGCTACTTTCAATAAGTTGTAACTATGCTAACACTGAAAACTCAAGGCCAACCTAGCCTCCACAAACATCTTCAAATCTTACGTCGTCGGAAGTCGGCTATAGCGCTCTTTTCTATCTCGTCCTAACTTAGCATACTCTGATTGCACTGCCATTCTAGCCTACAGCCCCGACCCTAAAACACATCAACATTCATGGAACAGCGATTCAAAAATTGCGAATCAATCTCAACACAACAAAGTCCCAAAATATCATTCTTCATCTCATCATTCCTCCTCCAATATATTATTGTAATTTCACTCCCTACCTACCGAAAACTACATCCACTACCTTGGGCTGTAGTCAAGCAACTGAAAAATGAAACGTTGTCATTGATATTCGAAAAGACTTCAAGACAACAGATCTAAAATCGACTATTCCCTTTATAAAAAAAGTTGTAAATTTGTATTGTTGTATTGCGATTTGTAGTAGTAAGATAGATTGTGAAGAGCTACAAAAACCTCAAAACTAACCTTCAATCCTGAATTAAAATTAATCCTGAAGTTCAACAACTTCCTCCTTCTTCCCTATAATCCTCCTCGTAATCTTCCTCGACGTCTTAAAAGACAGTGGCCCTGGGACTTGAATGATTGTAGTTAATCAATGATATAGAAGTACTACGACCGTCAGTTTATGTATTTCTATCTTTTTTGGTGTCTTAAAAGTTAATGCATGTTTTAGAATTAATTTATTTAAAATTTAACATTTTTAAAAATGTATTAGTTAGCCTAATGTAATATATTATTCGTGTCAGATAAAATATTGAATAAATTCTATATGCTTTTAAATTGATGAGAATTTACAGTAAATATTATTTTTCTAATTACTCTATTTAGTGTACTAAGTAGTCTAGTATTGTTGTTTTTGTTAAAATAAGAATAAATATTTACTATATGAACTAAACGCAGGCGTTGTTGACCGAATTAATTAAATTCCGAGAGTTCTTGGATCTCAGTGTTTTAATCAACGATTAATTATCCAAAATGATAAAACGATTTCAATAGCAAATGTAGAACAAAGTCCAATTCGTTGCAAAACCACGGCTTCTATTTAATTCGTCTACGCTTTTTTAAATTCGTTATTTAATTTACTTTCGGCCTTATTTAATACCGTCAATTATAATAACATATCATAACAACTGTATCTTTTGAAGGCACTAACCGCAAGTTTCATTACATAGGATTGAAGGCACCCAAAGATTCGATGATCCAGTGTCAAACAAAACGTTAAATTTCTGCGGAGGATTTCCGATATGAATCTCGCCGTAATATTGCACCTGTTGGTAAATAAATATTAAATCAGTGAAAATTAGTGTCATAAATTACATAATTACGTTGTGGTAGTTGGTTAACGGTTCGATGATAACTGATGTATTCAGTGTGGGTTCAGAAGAAAAACTCGTTCTTTGGGTGAAATTGACAATTTCTTCGGCTCCTTGAGTGAACTTGTGCAGCTTTACTCTACGAGCAATTATCTATAGATCTATTTTTTTTTAAACTTAGCTAGCGTTACCTTAGATTTGCCGAACATATTCCTGTAATAAGGAGAAAAATAATGGCGCGTGTGACCATCATCTCGAGTTCCACGATATTAATGAAAATGCGTTTTACTTGAGATATCGAGGTTTGGGAATGACCAATATTTATCGGAATTATCTGGCAACAGGTGCCCTGTTTGATTTCAATTTTAAAATAAGAGTTATAACTGTACCCCAGAAAAACAGCATCTATTAAAATCTGAATTGTGCTCATGTCTATACAATTTATAACACCCAATTTATTTATTTTTAATTAAAAAACTGCTCGTAATATTATAAATAATGCGTTATTTAACATAGTTACAAAATAGATTAAGATTATTCGGAGATCGGGAGATGCGTCTGCTGTGACGTAGGTTTGTGACGTAGGTTTTAGACAAACATTTTCCTTATCGTTTTGATCTTTATTTAGATCATCTTCAGGGCTCAAAATGTGTCAGAGTGCCCCCAACACGACAGACAAGAATGACACATCTACACGGAAAACAAACACTTTGAGCCCTGAAGATGATCTCAATAAAGAACGAGACGTAGGCACAATAAAAAAAAAAAAAAAAAAACATTTTTCCAAAACTTAAATCACAGCAGACGGCATCTCACGACCTCCACATAATCAATGTTGAACGAACGCTTTTGTTGTTGCATATTTAAAGTGCAGATGTAAATAGATAAATGAATTGGAAAATATGAACACACTATAGATATGTTTTGATTAATTATATATTTATGTTATTATTTTATATTGAATTATGTACAGACATGGAAAGTTAGAAATTTTAATTAAAAAATTGGCAGTAATAATATAACTAATGCGTTATTTATCATAGTTACAAAATAAAATAAGATTATTCGGAGATCGTGAGATGCGTCTGGTGACTTCGGTTTTTAAAAAAATTTTCTTTATCGTGCCAATGTTTCGATCTTTATTGAGATGATCTTCAGTGCTCAAAGTGTTTATTTTCCGTGTAGATGTGTCATTCTTGTCTGTCGTGTTGGGAGAAAATATTGGGGCACTCTCAACGCGACAGACAAGAATGGCACATCTACACGGGAAACAAAAACTTTGAGCCCTAAAGATGATATCAATAAAGATCGAAACGTTGGCACGATAAAGGTGATTGCCAAGTAAGTAGACATGTACTTTTTTGTTTTAATTTAATTGTCTTTTTGTAAGCATAGATACATTATTCACTTTTATATTGGGATTTTTATTGTTTTAGCGCTAATATTGAATCATAATTGATTATGATATGGGATGGCTTATGCAATGTGATATTAATTAGTGAATTTAGAAGTTAATCGATAAGTTTTCATTTTGGTTCTTTTCGGTTTAACGGCTTTAAAATTTATCTGTCATGGGATTTGATGTTTATTCCAATTACAATTATGACTAGGCAATCTCTGTTCCCAAATGAGTAATGATCATAAAAAAGGTATTAAATTAGAAAATCTTCATATTACGTACAGGTATAAATACCCGTCTAACGAGGTATAGCAGCACAAAAAGCATCTAAGTTGCTAACAATGAATCCTTATTTGCTACTCCTTTTGGTATCCTACCCGGTATTTTGTCAACGTACTATAAGGTGAGTTAATTTTCTTTAGTCATTTTAACATCACTGACTTTCGTTTACGATCAGCATTCCTCTCAAAAAGTTTCCGAGAGAACACAACCGCATGTCTCCAAATAACGAGCTAAGCAGATGGAAACGAGAAGACAAAGAAAACACCAAACCCGTGTTCATTTATGACGTATGAAGTATATTTTACAATTAGACAGTTTTCGTAAAAAGGTAAGAGGTGGAAATATGTGGTTTAAAAAAAAAAAAAAATAAGTGCACTTGTTTGTCCATCAAGGTAATATTTTACATAAACTATATTTTTGTTAATATAAAATTATACAATTAATAACTACCTCTTTCCTTATATTTATTAGAACTATCCTGTCGATGCATTGATAATAAAACGGCTAAAATTACAATTTGCCTTACCGTAGCATAACAAAACAAATAAATTTCAGCCTGCGACGTATGGGATGGTCGGCGTTGGCACGCCGATGCAACAAATTCCGATATTGTTCGACACGTATTCGAACGTAACTTGGTTGTTTAATAATGACTGTACCTCAGAAATATGCCGTAAGTGTTTTCCCTTAATCGATTTGATAAACATAATCAATTCGTTATTATAACGAAATGTAAAGACTATTATGCTAAGGAAAGTAAATAAAGCCTAATAAATAATAAAACATTTCCGTGATTTATAAGTCACTACCGATCTGTTTGATTCGTCGATGTCAAATACGAGCAAAACTTGGGGTGCTGTGCAGAAATACATTTACAAAGATCTTAGTTTGTACGGACGATGCACCGTTGACTCATTTGTGGTAAGCCTAATGGACGATTCATTATTATTCATAATAGTTTATAAGAAGCAATTTAAATTTTATATTTCGCAGCTAGGAGATTTTAGAGTAGAAAATTTGACATTCATAGATGTCCGGCAAACGGAATGGACTAACGCTGTGGATAGATCAAAAGTGGAGACTTACGCTGGCGAAATATCACTTCGATTTCCCCCATTTAATAGAAGAGGTAATGGTATGTTGTCACACTTGTTGTCAAACGGCGCCATCGACGAATTGATCTTTGGACTTAAGTTACCAAGGTAAAACGAAATCAAAAATATATATTTTTTAAAATTTATTTTATTTATTGGTACCTGTACAAAATAAATACACATTGAACAAATATTACAAAATGTATATTCCATATTATTAATTATATAAAAATTTGACATATCTCTCAGCCCAGGAGGTATTGGAAATCAGCCAGTTCTGGAAGTTGATTTATTTAGTTGGGATGGTTAAGATAGGAGGTCACGAGGTAATCGACATTTTAAACAGCATTCAGCATTATAAGAGTGACGTTGAGGAGTTTGGACTTGTGGTTTAGTGTAGAGGGCTAGTTTAGAGTGAAAATTAAGGAAGTGTGTTTGCATCATATTCTTTACGAAAAACATTTTAAAATCTTTATGGATCATTTGATTAGAGATATAGAAAGGAGAGTTGTGGATACGGCTGTGAACCATGAATGGCAAGGATTGGTTGGACGATTTGGCCGAGATTGCAAATCAGTCTGATGAGGGTTTTATAAGCTAGTTAGTTATGTATACTTACTTTTGTGTTCCAAGTAGCCCATATCTTTTGATAAGTTTTTGTCTTTTTAATCGTGTATGTAAGTTCTGTCTGCTACCTAAGTAAAGCCCATAGTAGCTAGATTAGATGAGGCTACTGCCTTATTGTTTATGTGTGCTATTTATTATGTTCCTTTAAGTCGAATAAAACCGCCTAGATCAAAGCATATTTTACAGATTTACCGCGTTCTTCACCCTGTATAATAACAGCAGAATACAAATTCACGTTTCACACCACAAGAATAGCACCACATTTTATATCAGTTTAAATATTTGGTTCAAAATTTATATTATATCTGTATTCTCCAATTATTTTTCTAATCAACAAATGTTTTCTAATACTCTCCGGCCCTGATGATGACATGGATAAAGTTCGAAACGTAAAAAAACCACGTGTTTTTCTAAAAAAAAACCACTTCATTCTGACCGATCCTCACTACTTCAATAAAAAACTTGATATGTCCACTGGTAAACAGGTTTGACGTTTGAGCTTAAACTCTACTTGTCGGCTATTTGCTCGTTCAACGTAGTGCACCAGTCGGTAATGAGGTTCTGATGATTTTGTATCGTTTCTGTAGCTATGATCGGATTGGAGTGTGTAGATAGGATTACGCTGTCGTCCACATAGGTTTTGAGTTGTTAATTTTACAGTAAGGCTATAATTCTACTGCTGTAGATGAGGAACCCTCCTACCTAGTTAATATTTCAAGAGAATATTTTTACCCATCTTTCATTTTCTTTAATTGAGTTTCAATTAAGTACGTTGTTATCTCGTTTTAGTTAAAAAGCTTCAGTACGTGTAATAACCGTAGAGCCATCAATCATAATTTATATATCTCTTCTTAAAAAATAACTTTGTTTAATTATTTTAGTTATAAGGATGTCGACGTGGAAGGTGAACTTACTGTAGGAGATTGGGATCGTAATTTCGTCAACGAAAGTTCAACTAATTGGATATTGATATCCATATTGATATAAGATTGCGTATTATAATATCAGATATTTACTGGGCGTTTATCTTGAAACGTACGTATGATGTATCGTTCTTTGTAATTACTACTGTTTGTAGAATATTTATCCCTTTTTTTATTTAGTATATTTTATGGCAAATACGGCTTTGAGATGGGGGTCGGTGCAGTTGTCGATACAGGATTGTCGATTATAGTGGGACCGCCATTAACTGTTACAAACATGTTTGAGCGCATCCGACTATCTGTAAATACCATACCAATAACGATTACATCGTTTATGACAAATTACGATGGCTTTGCGGTGAGATGTAACTCATCAGGTCTTTCCAATTTAGTTTTCATCGTTAAAGGAAAGAATTACGTACTAGAACCAAGTGATTATCTTCTGCCGGTAATTATTGACAGTGCTTATAAAATTATAGTTAAAATGAATTTATTTCAACATCATTTGAGCAATTGTAGCGTAATGACGATAAAACCATTATAATATTTCAGATGGACGACAAGGAAGGATGGTGCGCATTTGGCATAGCGATGGCGAATAATACAGATAGAGAATGGAGATTAGGAGATGTATTTTTGTCGAAATTCTACACTGTTTTTGATGCTAAACGTTCCCTATTGTCTTTCATTCTATTGTGACTACTAATACGTGTGGTTATTCCGAAATGTTTTTAAGAAAAAATGTGATAAAATTATTGTGTGATAATTTTAAACATTTATCATTTCACTTTTCTGCAATAAGCCCATGACACGTTTTCTACGAGAGGGCTCATGTTCTATTAAACTTTTTAATTGTTAAAAATATAATATACACATTTTAGGAATTATACTTATTTTAACCTCAGAGACATCTAGTTGTTATTTCTTAACTTTAAATTTTAATACTATAAAACTATTATACAATATCTTAATTGCCCCAATTTGGTCCTAAGGACACGAACTGTATGGGACAACTAAGCGTTTCTGCTTAACAAAATCCAATCCCTACAATCCAAAATCCATCCCAAAGTAATTTATGCTTTACTCTACAACCTATATCACCAATCGTACATGCTATCAAATATACCCTACGTCCAAAACCTGGCTCATTCCCGCTAGTTAAAATTTCCTTCCAAACTATCCTCTGGCGACAACCTGTTCATTCTCAATCCGTCCAGCTCAACCCTTCCTTCCAATTCTCATAGAGGACTGATGAGCAGGTGGCCTTGCGTCCATCTGATTTTGTAACTTGGGCAACTCGAGGGCTGTTGACTTCACGACATAGAGGCCAATTATGGTCATTTTCACTGAATGGTTCAAAAAAATCACGCCCGACATGCAAATTCATTACGTGCATTTGTGTATGTACATCAATGTACATAAAATAATATTTGCGTGTTGCATTTTGTATGCATTTGTAAAATATATAAATTCATACCAAACTTTCCAAAACACTTATTTCTCATCCATTTACCCATCTCCGCTGGTGATTCGCAGGATAGCGTACTCGCTCCCCTTTGAACAATTACACACACACCCTACACTCACCCTAACACTTTGATTTTGACCTCTGGCAATGACACATCAATACATACCTTCGATAATACTTCACCTAGTTTACAAAATCATTTACACTTGGACTGTAGATCGACAAAAACATACGTGATTCCCTACGAAACTCAAACGTAAAAATTTAAATGCAAGATTCAGACTGCTAAATGATTACTTGACAAGCAAACCAAATTCATGTCCTTTTTTTTATATTACTTGTATTTCTAATATAATCAGAAGCCCCTCAATTTCGTCAGTACATCTTTCGAATCTGATCTCCATCTCCTCATGATTGCCAAGAAAAACAAGAAAAAAAGGAAAATAAATGAAGTGCAATGAACTAAAATCCGGCCCGGAGGACCAATTTGTATGCGAGAGAGGGCGACCGCACTGAGGCCACGCAAAAACTTAGTTGGCTAACATCAGTAAAGGATAGTTATCTTCTCTACGGTTGAACGAACGTTTTTGTAGTTGCATATTTAAAGCGCATAAATAAACGAATTGAGAAACATTGACAACAAAAACATTTGATATTAAATAATATATAGAACATGGGCAGTTAGCCGAAAATTACTGCAGATCATTAGAGTTTTTTACGATAATGCTGTAATCCGTATATGGAGAGTCCCTTTTCTACCTTTTAATTCTATTCTAACTAGTTATCTCAATGGGTATGACGCGGGGAAATCTCTTATTATTTTCTCTCATTTTGTCCAACATCGCTCAACTTTTCACTAATATAGGATTACCATTATATAGAGATAAAGAATTATATTTATTGATGTAAGGTGACGACCTAGTTTTTTATTTACCTTTAGTTTTTTAGGAAAATTACTATACCGACAAACTCAGTTATGGGGATTATTATTATTATTTTTTTTTTTTTTTGACTGGCGATTCCGAAATTTAGGTCATTTCAGCCCCCACTGAGTCTGTATTCCATTTACCCTTTCAAACACTACATTCATACAAATAAATACATTAATGACATAAATACATCCATACGGTACAGTCATTCCGTTTGATCGTTGGAGTACTTTTATAAATATACCGCCATCGACCCCGAACACACACTCTTATGCTCTCAACGTTCGAGGGGCGATCATGACGTTACATTTCACCCTCATCCCTCGCCATTCACGCTAATAACTACATGCACTCAGACATATAGGGATAATTAAAATCGTACTAAAGTGATAATTGGGTTAGTTTATTCCGTAGGTTGTTATAAAAATGTATTTTTTATCATGATCCATAATTAATAGATGTGATAATTTGGATTGAAAGTGCATGATGTACTGCTCTATCTCGGAAAGTGTGGTATTCTATTCACTGAGGAAGATTTGGGTGTCGAAATACTCTTAAGAAATTGAAAGAGAATAGGTGAAATTTTTTAAACAAATATTACATCTCCCAAGAAACAACGCGACTGTACACAGCTGGCTAGAATTAGGAAAGCTCCATTCAACATTTAAGGAGAAAGAATGTTTGATTACTGGCAGACAATTTTGGAATGCCGGACTTTCAGTTGAAAAAGCAATGTTATCTAAATTTATTTGAGTTAATATATAGATATAATCTCATTCAAGTGGGTGAGATAGATCCTAAATTATCGCGTCATCACCATATTATAGGGCCCAAGAGTTGGAATTAAAAAAAAAAATTTTGATTATACAATATTAACGCTTAATAATGAAAGCTATGCCATTTAATTGAATTGTTGAATTAAGTAAAGAGTTGAACCATTTTTTGTTCAAAAAGTGCATTGTCTACAATTCACTAGTTTTAGTGGTCCGCTTGACCAATTAATATATTTCAATTAATTTTTTTTTTTTAGTTGAGATAAAAAAGTCAGTGTCACGAGAGAGATTGGATCCCACGATCTTCGGCTAGATACGCCGCTACTCTTTCAGTTGAGCTATCGTGACTCCGATCCACTCGGACAATAACTTCCTATCTCAACCCCACCTTTTGAATTTTCCCTCCTTTTTCCATTTTTCAATTTTTTTTCAAGTAATCAAAATATTTCAAATTTTCAAATTTATGCAATATTCTTCAAATTTGCAGAATAAAATTTGAACCACCATACCACTGAGATATCACTCGGTTAATGCTCAGATCATCAAGGTCGTCAGTATTAGCAAAAAGAATATGCAATTGTATATAAATCCAGGCTCTAATCATAACGCAATTAATAACTTCGTATAGAAGTGTTTGAATTTAATTAATTCTGTAATCTTATCAATTAATAATTCCGTGAAATACTATGACTTGTATATTTCAGGCGATTTAATTATACCATCCTCGATTACAGATTCTAGTCAGAAAATTCCTCTTACGTAATCTTCCGATTAAACCGTTTTATATCGAACGGAATATCGTAAAAATCGAATGTAAAGATGATTTCGTTAAATAAAACGACCATAAAAAGATATACTTAGTTTGCAAAAATGAACGTTGATAATTTCAACCGCTACGGTTTTGTAAATTGATTCTATTGTTCGTGTAAAGAGAAAAAATAATCAGAACTCCAATTAACGAGAAAAGTGGTTTATTTCCTTTTCAGTGACAAAATTTTTCTGTGTGCTTAACTTAAGATGTCCTCATGTATATTTTCACCTAAAAGAACACAAATATTCGAGAACACGTGTTTAAATATTTAAAATAGTGCCTTTTCGACTAAAAATTAATTAAGTAAGTAACGTCATCTCATAATTCAAATTATTATGTACACAAACTAGCAGCAAGACAATAAACGACGACGCGTTCGAAAAAATTATGGCCATTATTTGTTATATACAGGTAACATTACAATTTAACATCTATTCTTCTCATCCTAGTTGGTTTATTTAAGATCTTTTATAATGTAGTTTTTAGGAGGATAGCATGAGGTTCGACGTATCATTTTATTGAAGTAATATCGATTTCGGAGCACCATTCTCCCTCCATCAGTCTCCATAGTTAAAATTATATGTAAATATTAACAATATAATTATTTTTTATGTAATGTCTTGGTTGAGATAAAAATGTCAATATCACGAGCGGTATTCGAACCCAGGATAGTTCCCGTGGTAGAGCATGAGCGTATTTAGCCGAAGGTCTTGGGTTCGAATCCCGCTCGTGACATTGACTTTTTCGTCTCAACCAAGACTTTACATAAAAATAATAATTAATTGAAAGAAGTAACTTGGTCAATTGACCACTAAAACATAAATGGATTAAAAATATAATTTTTAAATAGTTATAAATACAATAAAATATAGTAATCGTAAAATTGATGAAACAGACAGCTACAACGTTTCATTTTTGGAAACTTATAACTAGTAGGTTTTTATGTATTACACATATTCCACTGGTTATTCGTATAGCTAGGTCCTTACCAAAGTCTTTGTTCATAAATTAAGTTTTTATTAAATTTCACTATAAAATGTAAACATGAAAATTATTCCTAACAATACAGGTCATCATGATCAACTATTTAACCCATCTTTCTGCCAGAAGTTAAATTTGGTGGTGATACCAGTCACTCCTCACATCCTAACTTGACATTCTCGTCATTTTCGAAGTTCCTGCGTTTCAAAAAATGAGCCACTGACCGGACAAAATCATAGGCAGACGATGCTATGTCAGGGGTAAGTAGGGTGGGGCAAGATGCTAGTACCCTTCATTTCAGAAAGTTTTTCTGTGGCTAAACGTGAACGACGGGGAGGAGCGATGTCTTGCCGAAATATCGTTTCGTCTCGATTGAGCGAAACAGGATACTCTCTTGTAAAACTCCATATACGCTTTCGAGCTGTTCACAGTTAAGCTCTGCGTCAATGGTTCTGCCATTTGGAACCAGCTCAAAGTGCCAAACACCCTCATAATTTCACCAAACACAAAGCATGATATTTTTTCCAAATCCGAAACTTGGCGAACCTCTGCTTGAAATTCCTGGCCTTGCTGTACCCACTATTTTCAATGGATAGGTTTTTTTTTCAAATATCCACTTTTCATCGCTAGTTATCATGCTACAATTTTTGTACCAAACTTTTATTAAAACAAATATCAACTCGTTGTTGGGCTTGCGCGACTGACAAGTCATGAGGACCTGATCAGGGTGGTATATTTCGGACCTTAAGCTTACTTAAATTGCACCGTACCGTTGTATTTGAAACCCCAATTTCGGACGATCATCTTCGAGTAGTCGCATAAGGATCCTTACCGACTGACTTCAGTCGTTCAGCATCATCCACCAATGAAAGTCGACCAGACGTGGACTCATACTGAAGGCTGTTGATTTCAGAATTAAAACGGCTAAACTAAAACTCTGCAGT